ATCCACTGCTTCCTTGTTAGCACCAGCCTGGAGCAACTTTTCCACCAAATTCTGCTGTCCCGCGAGAGCTGCAAAATGTAAAGCCATGTGGATACTTGGCAACTTCCACGAATTTTTTGCAAAACCCTTTCTGAACACTACCCTTCCGTTTGCCTCTGATGTGAGAGCTGGCAAATCCTCCTGGTTACGGTCTACTGTTTCCTGGTCAGCAGCAGAGTGGAGCAACTGTTCCACCACTGCTGATTGTCCTGCTGCAGCTGCCCAATGCCACTCTGACAAACTAAAATGAAGCCACCCAGTCTCCGGCCACGCACCTATTTCTTCAATCTCTCTCAGAAGTGAAGATTGGTCATGAAGAGCAAATCCAATGATCACAACAAGGAAGCTTCCCAAGATTAGCTTGCATGCCTTCTGATGCCTAATAACAAACACGCCAGGCATAGCGCCAGAAGGCCTTTGGTGGGGTCCCTCTGGATGTTCCTGGAAGGAAGTTTCTGACTCCCTGACCTGGGAGCTTGTTGGCAATTCTTGAGCCTCTTCGTCCGCAATTGGTGCAGCAGACTCTGTCACCATGGCTGGAGGGGCACTTGGAGAGGTTTGGGAGAGTTCGACGGCCTGTGGTTGGTCTGTCTCCTCCGTCATGTGTGTATGGGCAACATTCCCCTCTCCAAGCAAGTCCTGAATTGTGCCATCATTGATTCCTTGGTGCCTCAAACCAAGATCCAGAGATACTGACCTCGACTCCTCGGCATGGCGATTTCGGACCTTACGTCCAAAATGGCTGTAGCAGGCATCACCCCCTGCTCCTGAATCTGCCTACACGTGGCACGAGCCTGTTCCTCGGACATCCCTTGCTGCATCCGATCCAATGCTTTGGACTCTCCGGCCAAAGAACTCTCATCGAAGCGGTCAACGTGGGGCAGCGAGGGAAGAATACCCCGCTGTTCCAGGGTGGTGAGCAAGTCCTGGGCAACTTCATCGGAAATTCCGAGACGGCTGCAAATGGTCATCAGTTCTGCCTGGAAATTCCCGTCTCTGGTCATTTCGGTGTGGGCAAAGGATCCAGACATGGCATCTTCGCTTCTGGTCTCAGTTGTTTCAAGGTTGGCATCATCCTGCGAAACAATCGTGTGCACAGCGTGCCTGGCAGTGTGGCTCTGCCTCAAATGACAGCCCCTCGATGAAACGTGCTTGTTGGCAAATATCTTTGAGGACATGGTTCCTTCTCTCACCTCAAAAAGATGCAAGAGGAACATTCAAGGATAACACGTCAGGCAATGAAACGAACACACGAAGATATGCTGGGCATCCCCAACTCCAAGAAGAAAATAGGGCCATGAACTTTAAAACATATGGTATTGATGTGGAGGACTACATCCAAAGATTCAAAAGCTGGTCAGGACGCTCCAACGATGCTCTGCTCCTACTCCGCCTCAAGTGGATGTAAGGATGTAACTAAAATTGCAAAAATTACATAACAGTCTTCCAGAACATGTTCACCATTCAATTGCTTTGAGGTGACCAACCTTCCAAATCAGAAGCACCCATCATTTCATTTAGAAACCTAGAGGCCAGTTATCTCTCAGGCCACTTCTTCTGAGTCTCCAAGTGGCAAGTGAGGCAGGTGACAGTAGGGTTCCTTTGGGTCTGTAGCAGTATAATACCTTCCCTGAATTCATGGAAGTGGATGGCACCTGTTTGGTATTCGGATTTCATGGTCATCCAACATCGGGGGTCATGCCATCCATCCGTCATTCACGTCATGCCATCCATCGTCCATGCGCTTCGGTCCTGTGTCACCATAAAGAATGACGGTTGACAGACCGAAGCGCTTGAACAGCGGAGTTCATCTAAGGGGATCGACGAAAGAACCTGTGGTCTGCCGTGGCATAGGGGTCGCCACCTTAAGATGAAATTCTTCACCTGCAACCCTGTGGTTAGAGTCTCTATGCTCATTGGCTATAATCCAGTGGTGCCAACTGTGTGAACTAGCATGCCTTACTTTTCAGACACACACTCTGACACTTGTATTCCGTTAACGCAAGTTCACGATGGGAAGGAAGGTGATGGAACGGCAAGGTGCATGAGTCTGCAAAAAACCGTATTGTTGAACAATGTTGGCAGCTGCACTCAAAAACGATCTGACACGCAAAGTCGGCTGCAAAGCGGCGCAAGGTGGCGGTGGGTTTGTGGGAGGTATCATGAAGAACTATGAAACAAACCGTGGAAGAGTGGAGTAACAGCGTGTGAAGAACTTTGCAGGTACGTTCTCAAGGCGTCCCTCGAGAATATCCTGACGAATGGCTGGAGCTTCGTTGGATCAGGCCAAGCCAAACGTCCCTGATCCCCCTGCTTGCGAGAGGTGGTGGTGGAAAACCCTTTGTCCAGGGGTGGACACACACAAGTCGCCGCGTTCGGCGCTTTTTCAAAAACCGGTGGCAGGCGTGATAGTTATGCCCCTTTTGGACATACAGGTTCACGAGTTCAGCCGTAGCAGCTTCAGCGCTAGAAGGTGGAAGTGTGTATTTTCGAGTGGTGTGGAGTCGTGATTGGAGGCCTGATAGAGCCAAGCGCTGGCTCCCGGCGGTGGTGGAGTCCCGGATTTTCCAGGGTTGGGAAGGTTGCATGTAGGTGATGGTGCGTTGTGGGAGGTCGATGTTGAAACCGAGGAGATGAAAATCCTCCACCGGTTCGAGTTCCACTGGGTCGCCAAAGAAATTGTGGTGGATGAGGGTTTGGATAGCCGGGTGTTGAAGGAAATGTTCGTTGTGGACAATGAAGCGGTTGTCGACATACCGATAGTAAGTAAAGTGGAGGTCTGTGTGTTGAAGGAGGTTGTTGTGGATCTGATGCCAGGAATGCTCAATGAGGGTGATGGCAACATTGCATAGGGCTGGAGAGAGCTGGGATCCAATCCCGGCCCCTCGGATTTGTTTGTAAGTATTGTTGCAAGCCCGGAAAATGCATGTGTTGAGGGCAAAAGCCACGATGGTGGTAATGTCGGAAGTCTGGATGGTGCGTTGGGTAGGGTGTTTCCGATGGTGTCTGCCAATGTGTGAGTGGTGGAAAGGATTGCCGGTGGCCTGGACATCCACCGTCAAGGTGTGTGTGGGTTGCTGTTGTTGCCAGTGGTGGACGAGGGAGTGAACTGCATCGATGAGTCGGTGCTGTGGGACTGAGTTGAAGAAGCCGACCAGGTCATCGTTGGTGGCGTGTAGTGAGATGTCTGGTGGGGTTTGGGTGAGGTAGCTGTGAAAGTGGTGCCAAAGCTGGGGAATGGACATTTGGCCAGGATGTTGAGGGTAGAGGTGTTGGAGGATGATGTCAAGGGCACGGCTGGTAATGCGAAGCAGGTTGCCACTGAGTGATTGGAAGTATGAGATAATTGTACGGCCTTTTTGCCAGTGCTTCTTCTCCTTGAGGTGGACAACGCCGTAGGGAATGTTGAAGTCCTTTCGGAAGCCCCACTTGTAGCGAGTGCGCAAAATGGGGGGGGACAGTGGCGGCCAGGTGATCGTGGATGTTGGCGGCAGTAATGTAGGGAAGTGGTTCGAAAAGTTCGGGGGATTGCCAGGTATTCAAGGCGCCAGTGAAATATTGGCGAGGGCAAAACAGCCGGAGTTGTTGGAGCTCGTGGTCGGCATGGTGGAGTAATGTGTGTTTGCCAAGATGTTCTTGGAGTTGGCGAAGCAGGCGAGCCGTAAAACGGGGTTGCTGCTTGAGGTGGGTGTTGTGGAGGCGCCATTGGTGCTCAA